TATGTTGTTTCAAGCGCATTGCGTGGGGTTTAGCGAACAAGGTGCATACAGGCGTTTAGGTGACAATTAACTTACTATAACCTATCCTAGATTGCTTGAAGAATATTCAGCATCCTAGTTAGCTGTCCAGGCTATCTACCCTTAACCTTTTGTTGTTTCAAGTGTATTTGCGTGGGGTTAGGGTAGCGATCGGGGCGTAACCAGGTTTAATTTGTTCCTATAACCTTTGTTACCAATCCTAGTTTGCTCGAAGAATATTCAGCATCCTAACTAGCTGTACAGGCTATCTAACCTAATTCCAGAAATTTACTTTTGCGAGAAAATTGAATTAATATACCACACAACACCCTTGATTATACAACGACAACGTTTTCTTCCGCGTGTGATAGGGTAACGATGATGAGTGAATAGCGACAACTGGTTTGTATGTTTCACTGAGTTACCCTATCATTTTCAATAAAGGAATTTGATTCAACACAGACGACCGATACTATAGATTATTCGAATCGAAATTAATATTGAGTGGAATTTCAGAACAACAATATTTTGTTGGTTCATATCGACCCCTGGAAATTTAATCCCAGCACTGCTGAACTATCTTTGGGCGATAAGATAAATATATCCACACACACACGGAAATTCCCTCACAATTTACTTAGTCTGCAGGTTTGCTGCAGCACGGGTATTTTATTATTTTTCTTGGCCCTATGTAACCATTTAATAAGCAGAACACAATATTGGATGAAACCGATAACTGAATATTCTTGGATTATGTTATCTGTAATAGCCTAGTTAATTTACAAAGATAACACTTTGTAAAGTGTTAGCTGAAACACTTGTGAAGTGTTAGCTGTTTGTGAGTGTTAGTTGTTAGGTGGGAATTAGTTCACCTTTGTACTGTACCGGCTCACTCCTTGCTTTGCTGCAAACGATCCACGCACGGGCGCTTAGTCTATGTGGACGGGCAAATGCAAGGTTAAAAGAGACAGCCAACCTCTTAAAAAAAAAAAAAAAAAAAGAGATAACTCAATCCAAGATTTACACCTAATTAAAAATATGCTACAAAATAGACTTTGAGCTCAAGATACAATTCTTACAGATGCAAATTAATTGTAAGGCTTTGGAGATAACTAGTGTACCTGTTTCACAATCGAGCAATTTTCAAGTATTACAGGAGTTATTTCAATACTTTTGTTATGTACTTTAAATAAAAATCAATTTAATTACATAACCTGAAACAGATATTAGTCTATTGCGTTCTCAGCTGTCTGCTCCAAGTTTTACAAAAAAAATCAAACATTCAGGTTTGCCAACCGCTCGTATGGCCGTAACTTAAACAAAGCCAGTAAAATATTGGAGAAACCAAACACAAATTTTAACCCTTTCATTCCCAAGCATAGAAATAGCTATTAAAATTTTGTTCTGCGAGTTTTCTGTCTATTTACATTGTAAATATGCAAAATACATCAAGTTTGGAGCAATTTTTTATATTTTTCATAAAAAAGTTAGAATCATGAGTCCACATGGAGTCATTGGGAATCTACAACATGGAGGAACACTGGAACAAACGTATTGCTAAGATACTAAAAATTGTTTATATTTACAATAAACGCAATAAAATATCTATATTTATTAAAGAGGAAGTTTGTATATATATTATATATATATTTGAACCTTATGGACTCCGAAACCCCTCGACAGATTGTAATGAAACTAATACTTTCAGGTATTATTAAGCATTATTCAGAGATGGTTTGTGTGAAGTTTGGTGCAGATCCGTCAAAAGGGCTCTGCCCCAGTGGCTCTGGAGTTTCCCATGTTAAACTTATCAGTACTTATATTTAAATGGAATTAAAGAATCTTAACAGCTGGTTCAACTAAACAATTTGATTCTGTTATGTTCAATAGCATTAAAAAAGTTAATAGGTTTACCAACAGGGTGCAGCACTTTTTTTATGACAACAGCTAGTTTGCAACCAAAAGGTGAGTGAGCGTAGCGAACGAACTTCAACCTGGAGGCGAGTTAGCGTAGCGAACAAGCTCCAACCTAAAGGTGAGTAAGCGTAGCAAACAAACTTCAACCAGGACGTGATTGAGCCATGCGAATGAGCTCATCTTGAAAATGAACGAGCATTGACATAAAACCACATTAGGACAGGACAGGACGACGTCTGTCGGGCCAGCTAGTAAATATATAAAAATGAATATTACATAATAGTAAATTGAATGTTCAAAAATTTCTTACATTTAAAATAAACACAATAAAATAATAATACCAAGCCAAAATGATAGAATAAAAACCATAAATAGTAGAATAAATTGCCAAATAAATTAAATTTTTATGTGTATTTCTTTGAGAATATATTTACGCACAAATAAATAAGCAGAACTTATATTTTTTATTTATTTGCATGAAATTTAAATACTTTTTGTGATAGTTCAAACCAATGAAAATCCTGCTTCAATCTTGGCCGTAGATTCCCAATGATTCCATATGAACTCATAATTGATTTTGATCCTAGAGAGGTTATGTTTTGAAATACTCGCCTGAAACAATTTATATAGCATTCTAAAACTATAATCAATACAATGATATTTTTTCCATAGTTATAAGTTCATATCTTGCCACAATAAATTCCCAAAATGATGGAATATGCGGTTGCAGCCAAAATCATGTGCTTGGGGTCTGCCTTTCAAAATAACAACTTTGTAACCAGGGAAACAGTTATTCCAGTGCTGCCAACTTCAAGAATATAAGTTTACCTACCCAAACATAAGTTACAGATGGAATCATTGGGAAACAGCTGGCTTTATAAACTGCAATAAAAATCACGATTCCAAATGTACTCACTGGGAATGAAAGGGTTTCAAACGGAGTTTAAATGTAAACTAGTTTATTATAAACTAAGTTTACACCCTTATGGGGAAATGAGGCCTCAGGAGATTATAAGCCAATTTAAATATGTAGTTAATCGTTTTTTTGTTGTTTTTTTTTTTGTTGGACGAACAAAATACCCCAACCGCAGCAAACCTACTAAGCGAATTTCAATTTGCCTAAATTGAATTGCAATTAAATCTATTTAAATAACATTAGGTTTAATGAGTACCTAGGTTTGGTGCGACAGGGGGGCTAATTAAGTGTGTTTTTTGCAAAATACAGGGTGCGGCAAAAAACCGATCTATTTTCTGCAGAGCACTGTTCAGCGACAGGTCATCCGAGAGTGGTGGGAGTAGGCTCGTTGGAAAGCCTACATAATGCCATGTTTTGTAGTGCGGTTGAATAATGCGTTGGGTTAATTACTTTAGGACAACGGCTTCTGCGTTGAAAATGAAGCTGACATGCCTTCCAAAGTCAGATCGGACGCCAGACAACAAACATTCGATAGAGTTTGTGCTGCTGTGGAAAACAGTTCTTGTAGGCCCGCCCGAAAACAAACAGCTGCCTTGAACGTGTCTGACCGCTCAGTTTTACGAATTTTGAAGTTAATTTTCATCCCTATGGATTACAATAATAATCTGTATAGTTTGGTAATCATCCATACAGATAATCACGACGGAACCTCTCTATGTCGACCTAATTGAATAAAAGCACGGAACTGCTGCTGAGTTGCAATGACTAAATCATTACTTTTTTTAAACGACTAGATAACAACTGCACGTAGCTCATACGACCACTGCTCTATGACTACAAAAAATGGCATTGTATAGGCTTTCCAACGAGCCTACTCCCACTACCCTGAGACGACCTGTCGCTGAACAGTGCGCTGCAGAAAATGGATCGGTTTTTTTGCCGCACCCTAGTTAAGTAGGCCTACTATAAAATAAATAAATTTGCCATGTTTGATCAAAATATATCAGTAAACAAGCAAACTACAACAGTTTATAATATTCTCCATAAGAATAACTTGGGAATTTTTTATTTACAATTATTGAATTTTTTGTAATCAATAACCGTACGAAATCACTTTGATGTACTAAATTATTTTTTTTAAGCTCTTTGAAATGGTACAGAGAGAAATTGGGAAACTTTGTCTTTTGAGGGTCAAATATGAGAAAACCCAATTTTTACCCCATAAAACCCCGTTTCCATGGTCTGATCATGCTGGTTCGGGAACTTATTCATTTAAGTTTATCCTGCCTTGTCAAAAACAGACAAAATGACTCAAGTTATCACGTTCACGGATATACACATTTATATACATAAAATTTTGAACGGATGGTGTTTTTGGCCTCTGGGGACATCAAATGAAAAAGTAAATCGGTCCCCGGCCTAGGTCTTATAATGAGACTTATGGTATTATTTCCCTGTAGGGAAATTCGCTAAAATACCTTGAGTTCAAAAAAGAAATATTGAAAGCAGAAGGAGGAAACAATTAATAAGAGATCTTGTGTGTATGAGAAGAGTAGAAGAAAAGAGGCCTGGTCTAGCAGTAAGAAATCCAGATACTGTACACACTCCCTTGGAGAGATGAACTACTTTGGAAGTGAAAAATACACAAAGACATCGTGTTGTCACGATGGTAAAGCAAACTTGCCTAATGTCAGATCAAATTAAAAAATGCAAGAAATGTTTACTGGTAACAGCTATAGGTAAGTCAGGAAACATTTATATAAATAAAACACTATAGTTCGGCCGCTTAGAAAGCAACCTGCTGCAGCATTGGTTTAGCATTAGCGCGCAGGTCGTTTTCTAAGAGGCCGAACTATAACAAGCAAGACCAGATTCTGAAAAAATTATAAGATATTTTTACAAGTGTTTATTATATTAAACTGATATTAAAAGTGTATTTCCATTAGTTACATAAGCTTTAAGTTAAGTCATTTATACTCTTCAAAAATTATGACTGTAATAAGTTTTAAAATAACTCCTGTACTATTCCGGTACTTGACAATTGCTCGATTTCGAGCAACGGATTGTCTAGTATATTCATAAAAATGTACAATTAACAAAAACTGTATTTGAATTTAGAAGAGTAAACAAATTGTATTCTTACACATACCTTGTAAGTCTTATTGGAATATGTTTCAGGAAGAAGATCCAAAAAACGGTTTTGAAATCTTTCACCCAGCAAGATCATTTCTTCCTCTCCTTCGTGGGTTAAAAATTTGAGTTCTGAAGGATCGGCAGAAGGCACCCATGTCCTTAGTTTTTCAACCACCTCCGAACACAAGTTGCCTGTTTTATATCATTTTGAACATTACTAGCATGTTACAACAAAGCAACTTTGATTGCAATTGCGTAAAAACTGCAGTTAATACATTTGTTTTAACTTTTTCACTTATAGGAAATATATATTTACCTTAATGTATACAATACATACAATGTCAAATGAAAACTAACTTTTCAGTTTAAAAAAAGGTGAATTAAACATAATATGTATAAATTGGGCAGAAAACAATTAGGTAGCATGATAATGATGCTATTGACAAGAACACTCTTTACTTAGTGGAAACTGTGTTCCAAATTTTCTTAAGTCAGTGATTGATTTTTAGTTCTTAAAATAAATATTTTTAGGTACATATTATGACTATTCAACTTAAGAATTTAAGATAATGATTGAATTTCACGAATTTCCCATATAAGCCATATACCATAGGTCTTATGGTAAGACCTGGACCCGGGACCGATTTACTTTTTTTGTTTTGAGGTCCCCAGAGGCCAAAAACTCTATCCGTTCAAATTCATATAAGTCTATGTATAATTGAACACATTATTTATAACTTAGTAAACTTCATACTAGATAACTCGTTGCACAAAAACGAGCAAAACTGCAACTTTTAATAAAAGAATAAAGAACGTTAACATAAAAAGCTAGACCTCAATCAAAGACTAACATAAGGGTCTCAAATTATTGACTCCTCGGAGCTCTCGTCCCCACAAATTTCTTTCACAGTTTTAAAAGATTGGACAGATTGGTTGGTGTTTGCAATGTATGACTCTATTTCCCACATCAAATTTTCATTACATTTTTTGTCTATATTTTGTCTTAAACGCTGTTGGGTTCTAGTGTCAATGTCGTAAAAAGCTGTGCGTATTTAGGATCCCGACCTTGTTGAGGAATGGGAGGATCTACTCGGGTGGTAAAACGTGTCATTGATCTTTTAATTGTAGATCCCATGCGTGATCCGGCATCTATTTAGTTTCGGAGCTGACCCTGACAAAGGCGGAATTGATTGGACGAATGTTATCTAATTAATTTTTGAATCTAAGTCACGCAGTCATGTTTTCAGATTGGGAGTTTTCAATAAGTTTCTGAAAGTATGGCGAATTCTGCAAATGAGGTAAACGAACCTTTCCTTCATGGTAACAAAGAGTAAAAGTTGAACTGTCTTGGCCAGTCTTTTCTTGCTTAAAATGTAAGACACGACAATCTATACATTTAACGTTAATTTATCCGAGGTTGGATGTAGCACCATGACAGTCTAGTACTGCCGCTCTGTATCCATCAAATGTCCCAGTGGGAGGGTGTTGCAAGCGGTCTTGTTAGCGTTCCCTCCGGCCACTCACAGTTCTTTGTCTTAGAATTTAGTTTTAAATTTAAATAAAAACGAATGTTATACAAACAAGAAAAAACTACTTTACAAAGAAATTTTTAACACATTGTAAATTACATGTAAAATGGTAAGGTTACGGGTAGCTGCACTGCCAATAAGCACTTTTAAACATTCGCTTCATCAATACAACAGTACTGTAACCAAAACTACATTCGAGTATTCAGTAAAATACGATGCAAGGTAAATCAATCAACTATTAAAAATAATTTTTTGTCAACTCTTGCTAGGAAATACTTTATTTATGAACCAGATTAGTAAACAGATATTAAAATAAAAATAAAAATTCCGGCTTTGCTCTGGAAGTAATAAGTCCTGCAGTCTGTGGTTAGCCTTATCAACTATTTCAAACCATACCCATACGTTTAGTAGTACACAAAGTGAATTGAGTTTGTTCTAATGTGGAAGGGTAGTGCCACCGTTCCAAAATTTTAGTCCTTAATTGTACTTAACTCATGCCCTTTCTTGATATTCTGAGACATGTATGCACATCCAAGTGAAAATACTTAATTTGACACCTCTAATGTTAAAATCCATCCAGTAGTAATCAAGTTATGAGTCAGAAAAGAAAACTGCTTGCGTATTAATATATTGATTTCACAACAACTAGTTTCAACATTTATTTATGCCATAGTCATGAACAGGGGTAAGTTTATTTATTGAAAGGATTTTTAATGGGGTTTTATTTACATTGTGAACTTAAGTTTGTTCATTAGTAAGAAGGTTATGTTTTATTAAAGAAATGTTTTGTAGGACATTGTTCACAATTATCTTTGTAATTCACCTAAATTGTAAGCTAAAAGTAGATACTTGCCTAAAATTAAAGAATTAAAGTAAAACATATTTGTCATTAAACATCAATATCAAGTAATTGTTTTTATTGCTACACTAAGGTATGTTGTTAGATTATTTTGGATCTATTTACATCAAATATGTAGGGTACTACAAATATTTACTACAAATATGTAGTCATGACAAACATTTTAAGTATATGGTTGGTTTATGGGGGTGTGACTTGTAGTTTTCTCAAAAGTTCATGGGTACTTTGGGATTTATATATGGATAATAGTATAATATGAAATAAATCAATTTTCTAAATTTTATCAAAATATATTCATACAAGCAAACTACAACAGTTTACTAAATCTCCATAAGAATAACATAAAAATTTTAAATTAACAATTTTTTTGGAATTTTCTTCTTAACAAAAAAGTGCATGAAAACACTTCAATACACTAAATTATTTGGTTTTTTAGCTCTACAAAACGTTTTTAAAAAGAAATTGCAAAGTTTTACCATAAAACCAATAAACCCACGTTCCCATAGTTCGATCATGCTAGTTCACAAACTGGTCTGAATAAATGTAGGTTTACACATTTATACCAATTTTCATTAAAATCAGATTAATTTTCCTCAAGTTATCAAGCTAACGGACACATATATAAATAAATATCCATAGGTATATAAATCCCAAAGTACCCATGAACTTTTGAGAAAACTACAAGTCACACCCCCATAAACAATATACTTCAAATGTTCGTCATGACGAGAAACCTTGCACAGAACTATCCATTAATAAATTGCCCTTTAAGGTAGTCTTTCTAAATGTAAATTTCCAAATACCTAATGTAAAAAATACCTCAGCTGTACTTATCTGTTTGTTATTCTTTCAATTTATTTTATTACCTCTTGTTTGTATTACTGTATTCTGTTTTGTTTATTTCAGCTTAACTTTTTTAACCAATCAAATTATGAATTTGAACGAATCGTGTTTTTGGCCTCAGGGGATCTTCAAATGAAAAACTAAATCGGTCCTGGGTCCTGGTCTTATGATGAGACATACATTATTTACCGTAATAGCTTATTAACTATATGGGAAATTTGCTTAAATTTTTTTAAAATTTCAACAGCATATTGAAATTCAACAAAGTAAGACTGTATATATTAAGGGTGCACTCTACCTCAGCTCGGAAATCTCAGCTCGGGCTTCGTAGCTACAGTATGTTGCGCCATTGAGTACCGCCACGAGAAGCGCTTGCAGACGTTCACGGCAACTGCCTTTGTAAACTACCCATACATGCTAGTAAAAAACAATGAGTGGAGTTTTACAGAACAAAGAAAAATCTATGCGACCCTGGTTTTAGAATTTTAAACTAAAAATTCTATAATGAGTTAAAGCAGTCTAAAATTGCCGTTTCGTTTTTTTGTCTACATTCAAAGAAGATTTTCAGACTTTGTGGTAGGATATTAAATATATTGAAACCACAACAATCTAGATAATTTAATCATCTTCAAAATACTAACCTAACTTTTATTCTACGTTAAGCTATTTTATTAATTAGCCTTCGGAACACTGTTGCCCAGCCCTTGCGTTTACACAAAACGGCAGGGGTAGATTGCACCCTTAATATGACATTTCTATACAATGTTATCAGTCTGTTATAAAATATAACACAAGGTGACTTTCTGAATCATATTGGATTTATTTAGTGCGTGTTCCAATGATGTTAACAACACATTTACATAGCTCTAAAGCTTGCAAACCGCATACAGTATTTTTTTTAATTAATGAGTTAAAAATTGAAAAATAGAGTGGCAAAACAACTTTACCAACATTTAACACATCCTTTATAGGATGAAACTGTTTAATAAGTTTTAATTATAACCTTTTTCTGATTCATGATGTCCAATGACGATTGTTTTTAATGCTGGCAAATTAATCCTCATTTTGTCAACTAGTGTTCTTCCGGGATTTCTTGTTCCATGACGAATAATCGCCCAAATTCTTGTGGGTGAACAACCTAGAAAATTGGTTAACCTTAGGAGAAAAGACATGTTAAATTAGTTTAACTGTTTTATTGTTATAGATATAAAATCATAAATGATGTTATGTGGCCTTCTCCTTACGGAGTCATTCCATGTCAAATGATCCAGGGAGTGACACCCAAGGTTGTCAGAATTTTATGAAATTTGGTGAGTTAGTTCAAACCACTGACGTGAGAAACCTCAAATCTTTTTCCAACATCTAGATAATTTTCTGAGAAATAGTACGTTGATGTTTTATCTTAACATTGGACACTTGTCAAATCGCAACGCAGCATCATTTTATACCTTTTTTGTTATCAATCTGCTTATTAAGCTACAGTAGTAACACTTTGTTCAGGATGAAATGTATAGAGTCTAGCCTCAACTATAGGCCTAGATGACGAATGGTAGCGAACGTATGAAATAAGAAACTGCCCAACTTACCTTTTTTTTTAAACTAAATCACTACCTATTGCTTTATTAATCAAGATTAGGGTAATTATATTGATCACAGACTTCACGTAAAAATAGTATTTTTTACGCTATTATGATGCTAAATAACGTCCTAAATTGAAAAATGACTGTCGTTTTTGTGGAAAAGTCAAATAAACATGGAAAATCAGAAAAAAGACGCAAATATTTCTAAAGTCTAAACACACATTTAAGGTACCCATTTAAATTGTGGGGAATTGTATACCGTACTGAAAGTGAATGTAATTATTTTTTCCATGCGATAAATATCAAACGCACTGTCGTCTAAAAAGTTAATGAAACGGCAAGGATGATAAATGATAAAAATGGTGAGGATGTCACTAACCTCGAATATAAACAAAGCTTATTAGAAAATATTTATACAACCAAAATATAAACCTCAGCACCATGTTAAGATTGTCTGTTTACATAAGAGCTAGTAACGTTATTTGTTTTCCTTTATGATCCATACTCAACATGTTTTAATATCTTCAAACGCATCTAAATTAAGTACAGAAATTAATAACTGATCTTATTTGGACAAAAGTAAGTTATATATGCCTATTAATTATGAAATGAAACTGTTCTAAACTAACCTAACCTATCAAACTTGCTAAAACATTTCAAAATTCTGTTTGATAACAGAAAAGGCATGTGGGGAATATCAAACGTAAATTTGAAATGTTACAGCAAGTTTGGTTAGGTTAGTTAAGAATTTCTTAATCAATACACTATATTAATTTTCATAATCAATACATGTATATTAATTTATCAAATGGTATCAAAGTACTTAGAAGCTAACTTACATGGTGAAAACTAAAGCTTAACCCAACCTAACCTAAAATTTTACAAATTTTTTTTATGATAGCAGGTTTTAAAGTCTTGATTCTAAAAGCATCTGACACAACTTTCCCACAACAACAAATCGTTATGCATCACTGAGTAATTACCAACCAGAAGAGGAAGACCTTTACATTTCTACTCATAATTACGAGACATCGGGACACAAAAAACTCCTACCTCAAATAAGCAGATGCCGAATAAAAGTAGAAAACATGTTGCTAAACCTAACATGTTTAAAGATAGAAAACATGCTACAATTGAAAATAAGATGAATTCCACACAAACGAGTGGGAGCTTACCTCAGCGGACCAAAGTGTATGTCACTGCAGACAGCCATGGAAAAGGATTAGGAAATGTATTACAGTCATTGCTACCTCGATCTATTGACACCTTTGTTTCAGAGCAAGCTCTGGGGGAAAACTTGACCATATTTTAGAGAAAACTGCAAACATTGTAAGGGACTTCAACGAGAATGACATAGCTGTAACATTGAAGACATCACTGAGAAAGTTCAAACTAAGGAAGAAAACATTCCAGTTACATTGAATAATTTTGATAATGCAAACAGTCATACAAATGGAATCTATCTGACGCAACCCTACCGTTTTGACTTGGCACGTGACAACCATTTAAACAAAGAAATTCATAAAACCAACTGTGAATTAAAAAAAATGACACATCTCAATTTAATAAATATTAGTGACTTCAAACGTAAATTTTTCACTGTTCAAGACAACACCTGAATAGGCTTGGGAAGCAGGTGCTAAGCAGAAGAATAGCAGTGTTAGGTAAAAGAATAGCGATGAATGCTCCCTGGTTTATTAGAAACAGACATGAAGAGCTAGGAGTGGAGTCTATCTCGGCCTTTATTGAAAAAAACCACCTCAAAATTTCTGAAATCTTTAAACAATGTTCCTGGTGCATTAACTTTTCATCTTGGTGAAGCAACTGAGAACAGGAGATTACGTCGAAGGCTCCCTCAAGATCTATTGGATGAATGAAGCCTAAAGAAGATTAAATATATTTCTCTAAATTATTTATGTTACAGGGTGTCTCAGGTCTGGGCGAACCCACGATGTTATTATTGTTAATTTCTTGTTTATTTTGTTAACACTTCTGTGAATAATGTCGACTACATTGAACCAGAAATAAATGCTGTAAAAAAAATCTTATGAATAAATTATTACTGTTCTTTTTTATTACATTTATTTGATAACACCAATAAACCAGCTGACTAATATTAATAATAAATTAGACTGAATATCATTGTTCTAATGCATACTAAATTTGCATTCAGCTTAAAATAACATACTACGGTACCCTATAACAAAAACTATATTCAACAAGAGACTTTGCATTAAATCAAAAACTTACAAAACAATTGGCAGAAATTGAAACAAATATATTCTTAAAAGTAATCGAGGAAGACATGGATACCAACATTGAGAAGAATAGCAATGACCCTGAAGTTTCATATGCTCACTGTATTTCAGCGGATTTTTATGACCAAAAGAAACACATGAGTCAAGGAGTTGCCACAGTTTAGAGACATGTTTGGAAGACCAAGTAAAAAAGACTTTTGTTCAAGAAATTTTACATATCAGAAAACTGTAAAGGGAGCTGCTGTGTGTAGTCTCGTAACAAAGCCCAAATATTTTCAAAACTCTAACAATTTTTCTGAATGCAAAACAAACTATGATCTGGCCTTCGCTCAACTCACTGATTATTTTAAAACTCGTAATTTAAAAACTTTAATATACTCTACTATGGGCTGCAACCGAGATCGTGTCACTCCTGCTCATTTTGTCTCAAACCTATTGGAATTTCAAAAACAAACAGGAGCTGCTGTGACCATTATAACAGGCAAAGGAATATCAAATACATTAAAAAAAAATGTATTAAAGCAATCATCATATATAAAATATCTTAAACAAACAATCGTTGATCAGTACATTCAGAGGTGCCAAATACAAAACAACCCTGTTGAAAATTGTAAAAATTCATCATTAATTTCACCATCCCGTAGCAGAAACCCCAGCCGATAACTCCCAACAACCCCACCATCAGCACAAGCAGCCCACCAACAGTTCCAGGTCATATTTTATTTAGTGAAGTGATAAAGATATTGGAAACTGTTTTAAAAAAGCAGAGCAGTGAAAGATTAAAATAGTAATATAATAGAAAGTAGCAATAGTAATAAGGACAAACATGTAATAAATCCACTTCATTCTTCTTTAAACTTACTGGACAAGGCACCACTAATAAAAAGATAGGACTAACTAAAAATTCAAAATTTAAAATTTTCCACCAAAATGTACAACTTAGAATCAAGAATTGAGCAACTAGAAATAACCATAGATGAATTAAATCCAGATGTAATGATACTAACTGAACATGATTTGAAACCAGATGGTAAACCTTATGTAGGCCTACCTTGGTAAACATAAAAAAATATCAAATTATATATCAAATTATATCGTTTTCAAGACAAAATTCCTCTAATGGCGGTGTCATGATTGTGTCCAAGATGGACATTGAAAGGAAACAGGTTGATATTCCCGAATATTTGTCAAATAGATTTATAAAATAAAAACAGTTTGAGCTCTGTGCTTATAGTTTTGTTAAATGTAATTTTAGGTTCTTAATAGTTGGTGTCTATAGATCCCCTAGTTCAGATTATCAAACATTTTAGATAGACTAAGTATTTTTATTGACTTTTTAACAAGAAATACACACATAATTGGAGGAGATATTAATATTGATGTTTTGAAAAATTATTATAAGAAAAAAAAAATAAGAAAAAATAGGTTTAAATTACTGAAACAACAAGAAACAAAACACGGCCTCTACACTGAATCGGACAAAATTAACAATAAAATTGTCTTCAGCTGATCCATAAGGATGAGAAATCTACCAAGGGAGTGTTTGTTTTATCTATGCTTCTATGTTTCAGTGAGATAACAATTAATTAAAGGGTTCCTATCATAAATAAATCGTGCGTTTCGCCTAAATTACATCCCAAAACCCTCACCTTAGTGTTTGCAGTAAAAAAATTTCACATTTTCCTTTATGGCAAGAAGTTTCTTTTGGCTACTGATCACAGGCCTTTGACGTTTTTATTAGGCCCTACCAGGAGTATACCTACCTTAGCCGCTGCCCGTGTACAACGTTGGGCTCTGATCCTATCGGCCTATGAATATGAGATTGTTTACAAGAAGGGTTGTGATATGGCCAATGCCGATGGGCTTTCAAGGTTACCATGCCAAAATGAGAGGCCGGGACCGGAAAACACAGTTGCGTTTTTCTCCATAGCAAACGAACTACCGGTTACTGCCAAAGAAATTAGTACAGCAACTCGTTACGACCCGATCTTGTCAAAGGTTCTTGATTTTACAATCCATGGTTGGCCAGAATACGTATGCAACGAACTTCTGAAACCGTATGTTGTGAGGAGCCATGAATTGTCCGTGGATGGAGATTGTGTTTTGTGGGAGAGGAGAGTTATTATCCCGGAACCGTACCGTAAAGAAATCTTGTTTTTGCTACACAAAGAGCACCCTGGCGGCTCAAGAATGAAAAACCTGGCGCGAGGGTATATATGGTGGCCGAAAATGGACTCGGATATTGAAGAGCTGGTTAAAGGCTGTGGAATTTGCCAATCAACTCGCAACGCTTTGCCCCT